GAGAGAGAGAGAGAGAGAGAGAGAGAGAGAGAGAGAGAGAGAGAGAGATCCTTAGGAGGAAAATAAATTGATTGTGATTGAGTACCAGAATTTAACCTAGTTTGAAAAGTTTTCTCTTATGCTTTAAATACAGTGACCCTATATATTCCTAACCATTTGATAGAAATCAATGGAAATTTATATTTTAGATGCCTGCATAAGAAATTCAGAATATGCATTCTTTGCTGTCTTAGAAAGTTTTTGGTCAGATGTATTTGCTATGCAAGGATACAGCTGTTTGCTCTTTCTCAGTGCCACAATCCTGACAACAAGAGCAATGTTCTTGGAATTTTCTTTCAAGTTAAATTCTTTATCATTTCGGAACAGAAAGCTTTCACTGCTGTGGTTCAGTTAAATTATGAGAGTCAGAGATGACTCTTAATCATAGCTCTTTAATTTGGGAACCAGTGAGCAGTTTTCCTTATCATTTAATGGGATTGAACTTCTGATCAGAGCAGTCTTAATACTGCGTGAGACAACTGTGCCTTTTATAGTGTAAAAGGGTTGTAATAAAAATAGTGTGCTGACCAAGTGACTAAGGAGGAATTGAATCTGTTTACTAGAAAGATGGCTTAGGTTATTGATGGCCTACAATACTGTAATTCCCATGAACTATGACTGGACAGCTCTATAAGTATTGAAGATAAGATCTGAAATCAGAGAACAAATACTGTATGGAAAGTAGAATTGCTATTCAGCGTGCCCATGCTGACATATTGCAGGATTGGAAGGACCTCTTGAGGGCATTTGGTAATTGTTTTCATAAATCTACTAAATGAATTTCTTCTGTTAGTTTTAATTCTAGTAGAACTAGAGGATTGGGTGAGGATTTTATCACTTGCTCTGTTGACAGTGGTAGCATAACAACACAAGAAGTCCAACTGAGAGTTGGAATAGATTTGCAGATAAAATAACCAATGAAAAGTCAGGATGCGACTTTACAGGAAGGAAGAAGGTTGAGATGGTTGTTAAGGAATGCCAGGAAAGGAGTTAGGGGGGTTTTTTTTTTTTTTTTTTTTTTTTTTTTTTTTTTTTTGGTAGATTCTAGAAAGGCATGTGGAGGCAAACATTTATTCAGCTTTCCAGAATTTCCTGAGTGTTTTCCCTATCCTAGATACTGTGTTATATGCTGTAGTGTAAAAATGAGACATAATCCTGCTCAGAAAGCATATTCAGACATCCAAAAGTAATTTCAGTATTTTGGGTTAGTTTAATAGCCATGAAGCCTGTTGTCTCACGTATAAGCTGCAGCTAGCCAGGTAAAGGGAAAAGAGACTGATGCAGAAGGAAGGGGGTGGGAAATCTACGAATGGTTTGGGAGTGAAAAGTGTGATGAAAGCACAACAGGCCCAAGCCATGTGGCTAGAGTGGTAAATGAGTGGATGACACAGAGTGGCAGGGTAGAAGGTTGCGGGCAGATCTAGAGATCAGGTTCACTGAGAGAAACATTTGAAGTCATCTTCAGGGGCTTACAATTTAAGACAGAGAGCCTGGTTAAGATTTTCCCATAGCGCGGATGAGACAGAGCTATGGGTATTTCATGATTGCGTATGAGTGACAGTATTATGTGAGAAGGTGATAGAGAAGGATCTGCTTAGATTTTCAAGCTAAACTAGGAGATGCCAGGCAAGGGATAGCAGCAGAATGATTGGACATGCAGAGTCCTTTCTAGTTGACAAGCCCTCAGTAGTTACTTACAGACATTTAACTACAGGGATTTGGATGCCCAGAAGATTCTGCTCAGATCGGAAAGTCTCAGGAGCACAGGCACAGAGCAGAATTTAGGTTCAAATCATTATAAGAAATAAGGAGTAGCAAAGTGTTTCACAATAAAGAGTAGGTGGAGTTTCTCAAATTCAGAGCAGACAAGTACTCAGCATGGAGCTCTATAGTAATAAGAATCACTGTTGCAGGGCATGGTGGTGTAGGTCTGTAATCCCAGACTCAGGAGGCTGAGGTAGGAGGATCGCTGCGAGTTCCTTCAAGATACTTCCTGAGATTATCTGTTATGGAAGAACAAATACCAAACAGATGACACTTCAGTAAACATAGTTAATTCACAAGCATTGCCTGTATTTAGCAGAGCTATTGTAAACTTTGTGGTTTAGTATATTTCCACATATTTTGGGATTTTCCCATATTACCCTGCTTGGAGTCACCCCTAGAGCTCATATTTTTTATATTATGATGTGTTCTAGGCATTGAAAAACATTTGGTTTTCCCTGCAATATATCTGTCTCAGCAGCTTTAGAGGTTAGGTAGATTGACGTTTTGTAGGTAAGGAAACTGAGTCTTGGATAGTTTTGAATTTTACCTAAGGGCATAAAGCTTATTAGTTCCGGGAGATGAGTTTAAAACAGGAGTTTCTGAACTCTGCCATTGTTTTTCTCCATTGCTGTATAATCGCCACCAGTATACACTTAGCATTTATGAATATTGTCTTCTTAGTAACAGGGATATGTATTTTAAAAGTCATAGTGCTATAGGGGAAAAAATGAAACTCCTGACATGAAAGGTACCTGGGCCGAGTTCATGTTCTGTAAAACTGAAGAATGAGTTTTAGGAACAAATGGAGGTTATGAGCAGAATAGATTTATTGGGGGAAAGAAAGCTCCTGTCTGAGAGAGGGACAGGAGGGGGGCCCCGAACAGGTAGTCCCTGGGATGCTCTCTCTCTGAAGGACTTTTATAGTGTAAAACCATACAGGTCTAAGTTGGAGAACATGGGAACTCGCTTAGGTGGGCATGAGGTGGGACAAAACTTGGTCAACCAATGAGGTTACAAGCACCACTGTTCAGATGAAATTGATAAAGTCCAGGACCAAATAGGGAAGTGAGTCATGCAGCAAGCGGGCATGA